CGGCGGCTGCAGCCCCGCGTTCCCAGGGGCCGGGAGGGCAGACCCAGGGGATGAGAGCTCATTCAGAGCCGCCCCTGATCACTTCTCACCGGGGACATGGGGACCCGGTAAGGTGTGCCCCTGCTTCTCCCCGTTACCACTGGTGTGAGGGGACGATGACACCCTCATACCCTGCACAGACTCCGTCCCCGCAGTTCCCCTCCAAAGGAAACGGCTCCCCTCCGCAGGCGGGAGCACTTTGTTCTCTCCTCCTGAGCCTTCGCACCTGTCTCTCACTTTCCCCGGGCCCAGCTGCGGTGCCCACTTCCCTTTCACCCTCCCCATTTGCTCCGGGCTGCGGGGAGTGCCGGTGTCCTCAGGGTGCTCACTCCCGCTCCGCATACCGCCGCTCCGGCTTCTGAGAGCACGAAAAGTTATTACCATTATTCCTTTTGTACGGGCTGGACAGAGCACTTGGGGGAGTGCTGAGGCTCTCCTCTGTGGCCATACAAGATTATAAAGGGAACACCTAACCTTCAACCATTCTTCAACCATTATTCCCTTGAAAACAGAATAGCCACATGGAGCCTAATGCTTAACACTTTTTTTTTTTTTTGGTAAATTATACATTTACTGGCCTTGACTGTTTTCTTATTTTAAACATGACTGCTTTAGAGCAGAGGAAAATATTCATAATTGCAGCTGTTTCTGGAGATATCCCAGTCCCCTAATGATATCTGAAAGAGTCAGAGAGATTTCTTCAAATCACTATTACTGTTTAATGACACCTGACTTTGAGAAATAAGCCTCCATCGAATGGGAACTTTACTTACGTGTCAGCAAATTTCCTTAACCCACAACTGCATAATGTTCCTGAGATCTCAGCAAGACTGATAGCACCTGAGCCCTTTTTTAATTTAGCTGAAACTCTTGCATTAGTGACACACAACTTGTGCAATTGCAAACAAATACTAACATCTCAAAAGACTACAAAAATACAACATACACAATAATCAAGGAGACTTCCAGAGGTGACTGCAAAGTCCACTGCCCACAGCAGCACAGGTTGTTTTTTACCAGGCAAGGGTACTCAAGTGGCAGATTGGCCCCTGTATGCAAACGTTATTCAAGGAGGCCTGACAGAGACCCCTCAGACCATTTATTACAGGAGTATAAATTACCAGTGTGCCGGAAATATAATAACACCCCCCAGATCATCTCTAAAGTGATGGAAATTTTTATTGCTCTTTTCAAGTTAGTTGACAATTGACTTTGAAAGATTTATGTCAACTTACAGTCAAAGATCATTTCTCAGAGCCCTTTTTCTGGCCTGAAATCAGGCCATTTTGATCATCCATTTACTAGCTCATTATCCAAATTTTAAAAGTGCATAGCACATTGCTAAGGAATTTTACTGCCACTTATGGGAAACCAGCTTTGGAATGTTAAAATTCTTTTGATCATCGCCCTTGTACCCTGATAATTGCATGTGAGATGACTAGACACTGTTTGCAAGTAAGAAATTTCAAGATCCTTTCCATTATCTGTTTAGGTAAGAGCTTCTTATCTCTTAAGAACTTCTGACTCTTATGAGAGTCAGCTCATAAAAACGTGAAGATATAGTATCATACTTATTTAAAAAGTAATTTTTTAAATCTTAAAAACATCTGTTCTGCTACTATAGCAAGCCCGGTATTAAGTAACAGGTGTATCCATGCATTTGGCTAAAAGCACAGTTCCATGACAGAAAATCTCATCTAGTTAGTAACTGAAGGGGTTGGATACCTGCTTTAGAAGACAGAGGGAAATTCACGCTTTTTTGAACTCACACAGAGTAAATTGCAAGGGGGGCAGAACAAATCTAGATAAGAAGGAGTCTATGCTTCTTTAAAAGAGGAGTCCTCTTCTTTAAAAGAGGAGCTTTCTTTTGGGTCAGGATGAATACCTCTACAATCCTTGAGAAAGGAATTCACATGAAAGCTGGAAAAAAAATAGGTTTATTCAAATATTCCATTTATATTATTGTTTGTCCCACCCCGTTTATATTTTACAGTAATAATATAAATGCAAGGGCCTCGAGTCCATGATTCAGATTGTCCAGCATATCTTTGTAAACGTTTAGATCGGTGCTGCATCATAACTCCACCAGGCAGTTACGGACGAGGGCGGCCCAGATACCTATCAGTAGTGCAAATCCTCTTTAGTCGGAGTTCGTATCAGAGGGTCAGACACCCAGCAGGAAAGCTCTGGGGTCCCGGTACTCTACAAAGCAGGGTGCTGCCCAGAAGCCAAGAGGCTGTGCTCTGCAGGCGCTGCTGAGGTCCAGGGCGGGTGCCGGCAGGGCGGCCAGAGGGAAGCCCTCAGGGGCAGCCCCTTGCGGGGGCAGAGGCGGGGGCCGGGCCACGTACGTGAGCGGCAAGGGCACCACAGCGCCCTGAGGTCCGTAAGGGAGAGCGGGGCTGCAGAAGGGCTCCGTCCTCAACTCCTGCAGCTGCCGCTTCAGCTTCATCCGCCGGTTCTGAAACCAGGTCTTGATCTGGGGGGGGAAGAGCACGGGGAAAAGGAGAAAAGACGAGGTTACAGCGCTACCCAGGCTCGTTTATCTCGTGATTTGGAAGCGTGCTGTGGCCGTTCAGCGGCCCGGCCCCCCCCGCTCACCTGCACCTCGGAGAGGCGCATCCTGCCCGCCAGCTGCCGGCGCTCGGCGGCGCCCAGGTACTGCTGCCGCTGGAAGGAGCTCTCCAGGGTGCTGATCTGCTCCGCGCTGAACGCC